GCACTGTGGCCATCCGTTTGTTTTAGGCCTCTAGATAGCACTTACCAGGTATGACAATGAGATCAATTTTCATATGTGGTCAATTGAATCAGTCTCTTTTCATGGTAGTGAAATCTTATAAAATCATTTTCTATATTGCCAGAGGGGAATGTGGAATGTTAACCTGGTCTCTCTCTGTGTGTGTGTGTGTGTGTGTGTGTATAATTTATAATTAAGCACAATTTATTTCACAGCTCCCAAAGAAGATTTGAGGTAACTGTTTCTCTCTCTCTCTCTCTTTCTCTCTCTTTCTCTTTTCATATGGGTAAAATTAGATCTTTTGAGGTCCTTTTTTTTTTTTTTCTAAATTTATTTATTTTTTATTTATTTATACAAGTACTGGGTACAGTCAGAAGCGCGGGAGGGTGAGAGAATTCACCAGAGCCAGAGCGGGGAGCAGAGCAGACAGAAGGACCGAAGTACACTGCTGAGGGGAGCAGCGGGCGGCTGGAGAGGTCTGCGCGCCATGTGGGACCCTCCTCCGGTGGCCGGGGAGCAGCCGGGGATCGAACCGGCGCTGCAGAGGCTGAGGGCAGCTTCGCAACCCAGTGCTCAACCGCTGCGCCACCGGGGAGGCCCTCTTTTGAGGTCCTTTAAACTGTACCAAGGTGAGGCAATGAAATATACTGGTGAGGAACATAGATGCTGGATCTTATTTAAATCCTATGTCCATTTAAGTGCATCCCTGGTGGCACAAGGAGTTAAGACACAAACTATGAAGCTGTCTGCAGCCTTTGTAGCACAAGTTCGATAACCTGGCCCTCCAGGGAGCAATCCACATGGCACAGCAGACCTCTCCTGACTCGCCATCTACTCCCCATAACAGCATATTTCAGTCAGTCTGCCTGTTCTATTCCCCATTCTGTCTCTGGTGAATACTCTCACCTGCCCGCCACACCTCTGGCCTGTACCCCAGCTCTTGTATGCATAAATAAAAAAATCTTTAAAAAAAAAAATCCTATGTTGGATACATTACTCAACTCCTCTGTGCCCAGAGTCTTGTTCTAGCAGTGAAGTGAGATAATAATAGTGTCCATTTCTAAATTAATAGAAGGATTAAAATTTAGAATATGGAAAATACTTCAACTAGTAACTTGAACACTAGCATAACTACATGCTAAATTATTTATTCTATTAACTCATACTATTTCTTATAATAAATTGCTACAAAATGAACTACAAAATTATCATTGGATTTTTCTATGACTCAGTGTATTCATTTAATAATGTAGATAACATATTTGCTAGGTGCTGCACTATATATACACATATATATCTATATATAATATTATATTATTAAATATATGTACATATATATAATGTTAACCAGTTCTAGACACACATTTTATCTGGAATACTTTATATATACATACATATATATACATATACATATGTGTGTGTGTATATATATATATATATATATATATATAAAATGTGTGAGAGAAGATCCCTAACTTGTCTGACATTAAATAGTTAGCTAGATAAAAGTTGAATCAGATAGTTTGACTCCCAAATACATACATAACCACAATACTAATTATTTTTTCTTCAGACAACTATTTTCCTGCTTGAGTAAAAATATTAATCAAGATATGATTAGGCTTAGTTAAAACCTACAAACAAACCTAATGGTATTCTTAGTAGAAATCACTACAGAGTATAGACTGTTTTTCTCAGAACTATTCTATCTTATCTTTCTGAGGAACATTAGTGTATTTTATCAGCTTTATTTGATTTAGGACGCAGATGTATAGAGAAATATTTCTCAGCCTTCACTTTAGAGCAAATACTGTTCTCAGAACCTATGAAAGACCCAGTTGCCAACTTGATTTTTTCCCTTGTGAATTAAGAATTCCTACTGATTTAACATGCATGAATTAATTTATTAAAGTTAAGATTTACAAGATGGTGATAAACACTTCCTCTAGGTGGAAAATTTCAACTTGGGAAGACACTAGATTTAGAAAATTCAAATAACAATTAGTTTACTCATGCAAAGGAGGGCAAAGGACCCTCAATGTTCTCATTTTCCACCTCTCTAGTCTACTTACCTTTAAAAGAAATTCATTCTCTCATAAATCATGTCACATGTCACAAATGATAACACTTTGGATCTACTGCATAGATCCAAGTTTAGCTGGAACTCCAGCTAAACTGTGTGTATATGTGTGTATTTAGCATATTGAGTATTTATAAGTAAGTTCCAGGTTTCCAATCAATAATATACTCCTGAGATGAGCAAAATAGAACAATTATTAGTTGTTTCTGATAATTTTATTATAGCTGACTTCATAATTGCCATCTTTACCCTTCCAAAAGTTTCCTGCTATGAGAACATTGGAATAGGCTGTCCAAGAAATTTTAAAAAAGACCTACATGAGTGCCTGTCTTCTCTGACCAAAAGAAATCCAAAGAAAGGGTTTTTACTTTTACAACAGAAGTTGTAAAGGGAAGCTGGCACTCAGGCTTGATTTAGAGCAGCTGTTGTAGATGCTGCCACACCCCGAGCGAGTGGCACTGATGTCTTTTGGAGTCAGTGGGTTAGGAGTGCAGGGTCCTTGGATTCACTCTGGGAAAGGTTTCACCAGAGTTTCCCTTTCAGTGGCATGCAGCGAGTTTCCCAGGTGAGTTTCTCCATGAGATAAAGACATAAGTTATATTTGAAAGAGCTGGTTTATTAGGAAAAGGGACAGAAGAATAAAAGACACTTGCATAGACACAACTGGCAGAAAGAGCTGCCCTGAAAGGGACAGGTTTGCTGAGAGAGGCCTGCATGGTTGCAGGTGGGCAGCCTTGAGGAGAGTGGCCTCCGCTGAGGGGGGTCGTTGAAGAGAAGTCCTGGCAGGTACTGGTCATGGGCAGGCAGGAAGCTGCTGCCCTGAGGAGGAGAGTTGGCGAAAGAAAGCACCTGCATAGTCTCAGGTGGGCAGATGGAATGCTGCCCCTTTGTGGGGGCAGCTTAGGTTTTATCATTTTCCTTTGGTAGGGAGGGGCTCATTTTTGTGGGTGGATGGTTTATTCCTTTATCTCCGTCTTCACCTTTGGATTTGAGTTTTTGACCCTCCCTATAGCAGGCTGATACCTGCCTGGGTTGATGCGTTGTGATAAGGCACTGGAGCCTAAGGATCTTGGTTTCTATAGCTGGGTTAATGGTCACATTATCCCCTCTCCCCCCACCTCCAGCTCCTGGCATTGTGTGAACCAGTTTTAGTCTCATGATGCCTCCTTTAGGTTCTATTCTTTCCTCCATCAGCATCACCAAGCTCCTTCCCTGCAAACTACTTCATACAGGCTGTGTGCTTACCATGTTATTCCTGCTTTGACTGTGTGCTTGTTATTTTCGATTTTCCATGTTATTTAGTATGAATTGGTAGATTATTTTGGGGGTCTGGTGTAGGGTAAGGTAAAAGTATCAGGATTTTCTGTCCTCCCGCCATTAGGATAGATGATGGATCCTTGCGGTCCTGAATGCACGCCTGATGGCGGGCACCTGGAGTAGGACGTGGGCATAGGTAGATGGGATTCACCTGGGCTGAGACTGGGCTTTTTAAGGATGGTGTCAGAGGGACGCCAGCAGAAGCAGAGAAGTAGAAGCCAAGAAATAAAGAAAGAAAGAAAGAAGCAGAGAAGCAGAGAAGCAGAGAGAACGCTGGAAAGCCCAGATAGAGTGAAGACTTGCTGGGGGCTGGGAGGCCTGCCAGCCTCCCAGCCCCCCAGCACCCCTGCCTGCCATATGCCTGGTGAACCCCAATAAAAGCCAGCAAAAGCCACCGAGGTCTCCAGGACTCTTTCCTCCTTTACCCCGTCTGCATGGGATCTTAGAAAACCTGCTCAGTGTCCATTCCAGTCCCTACATCCGGGAATGCTCAAAGAAATTCCATAAAAATTATTGGTAATTACTTTGCTTTATGCCATTTTGGCTTATGAGAGGCTTGATAGGAACAGTTTCAAATAGCAGGAGAAACTCGTATATAGCTCTCACTTGAGGTGCAAGTGAAATGGAGACCCCCCTCACTTGGTGCTCCAGCACATGGCCCTAGGGTGCTCCTTGCAGGCAGTGTAAATGGCAGCAAGTGAAGAGCAATTGACCGCCTGCCATCAGTGATGCCACTGGGACTCAGGCTGCAGGCAGAGACTGGCAGTGATGGAATATGGCTGTGGTTCCCTGCCACGCTGCCCCAGGGCATGCAGCTCGCACTAGTAAGGTTGCCCTGTGCAATGGAAAAAGTTCCAGGCCAAAGGCTGGTCCTGTAGCCCCTGGTTCTGGGCTGCAGGGAGGAGAATGGGGCTAGGGAAGGTGCCAGCACTGTGGTTCCTCCAGCTGCAGGCTGTGGAGAAGCCCATGGGTCATGGAATGCACTGATCAGGTGTGAGCTATGAGCTGATTGGGATATGGTCCAATCAGACTTGTAGGTGGGGGGCCTGGGAGATGAGGCAGGAGAGGAGCCAGCCTGAGATTTGCTGGACTCTCTCAGACTCGGACTCACACACTCTGACACACTCTGATTCTGAGATGGACGCTGTTCCTCACCTCCAAACAAAGTTGGCTTCGCAAAGAAGTGGAAGAACTTTACAAAGACCCGGACCGCACATGCCTCTGATTCTGCCTGAAAGGAGCTCCAGGCCCCAGGCCTGGTGTCTCAAAGAGCTGTTTGTTGTTGGCATCATCCAGCAACTCATGGAGAGATGTAGTGCTAGTGTATGACACTGCCAACAACAAACAACTACTCAGTGCTGCTGATGGGTGACAAACCCTCTGTGTGGCTCACCTTTTGAGAGCTCTTTATCTTCCAGCACCACCTCCAGGTGCTGCTGCCTCTGCTGTTGTCTGGTCAGCATCTGGTGCTGTCTATCTCCACCTCCAGACTGTTGCCGCAGGCTGCTGCAGTGTCATCTCAACCACCCCGCCTGTGAACACCTCCAGCTGCTGTGAGTTGGATCCTGGCTGCTTGTGGATCAGCAGCTCCAGGCCCTCCTTGGTGGAATGGTGTTATCTTGGATGAACAGCCTGTTGTTTAGGACTTCTGGCTGCTGTGGACACCAGGTGGGTGAGATAGTTGGTTGCTTGTGGCCTTGAGAACTCCTTGTTTTCCCTGTTTGTTCTCTGAGCCTGAGGGGTCTTGCAATTGTGTATGTGGGTGAAGAACCCACACACAGTGACCTGCCCTCTATTGGACACTGTCCTTTGGAGTAACTATAGTGCCCCTAGGGCCCTCTTTCACAAGAAGCTTTTTCTTAAGAGGTAAAACTTTTTGCCACAGTGTCTGAAAAACACACAAATCCTAATTCCTGGCCTAGAGGAGCAGTAACACCCATTCCATCCAGAGGGGGATGACATCTGGACAGAGAGTTTATCTGTTCCTAAGACTAAGAGTGAAAGAGGGAAGTCATTGATGCCACTTTCTTCCTTGTTTACTGTGATCACTAAATAGGCATTGCTTGTTTTCATTGACTGATGTTATAAATCTCACTACAATTGGATTATATTGGTGCGTTAGAACAAATTAGGTCCACTGGTCTACTTTCTCTGTTTAAGATAAGCTGTGGAATACTATGCAGTTTCTCTAAAAATAATAGCTAGAATTCATAGTTGCTTACGTAGATTCTTTAGCCAAAATTTAGCTAATTATCTTTGAAACCTTTCAAAGGAATTGAAGGTCTAAGGAATTCCAGCCGCATCGCAAGACGACACAGCTCTCTTCACTTTCTTAATCATCTGGTCTTTGATTTCGCACTTGATTTACTCCAGCTGGACAAGGTCCCTCCTGACTGTAAACCTTCCTGGCACTCTTATCTTTCACATGGTCATATGCTTTCCTGTTAGTTATTAGCGTTGTGTTCTTGTATTATTTCTCTGTATCAATAAAAAAATTCCTTGAGATGAGGGACTGCATGACACACCGTTGTGTCAATCGAAGTGCTTTTAGCTTCCCACAATGAAGAAAGAAAGTTAATTCTCTCACAAAACAAGCCTAGATGCACCTGACTGTAGCAGTCAAACAATTTCACAAAGGACGCTGTTCTTTCTACTGTCTCTCCACCATATTTGGTCTATTAGACTCTTGTCTTCTCCCCTGTCACTTCACAGTTGTCAGATGACTGTCACAGATCCAGGCATCTGGTTATTGTTCGAGGGGTGCATCACTGAACTCTTTACACATATCTGTTCCTTACAAGAAAACCATTTCAGGAGCTCCCTCATTAACTTCCTTGTATATCTCATTTCAGTTCAGTGTCCCTTTGTAGGTCTTTTAGTGTTCAAGCACTGCCAAAGTCCCCAGTTACCCCCAGAGCAGTGATTTATAATGGAACGATTTCAATACCTATTGAAAGCCTTTATGACGGTCGTAAGTGATAGCAACTAAAGAATCCGAAAACTAAATGCATCAATGGATACAGCAAGACAGTTGAGGATACCTTCCAAGGAGTGGTGCTCGTTTCTAGACATCAACTTTATGGCACCTGAAATTTAAATTCATGCTTCAGCAAAGTTACAAATTGCAAGATGGTGCAGATCTTCCGGATTGCTTGCAATTAGCCATCCCCTCAAATGTTAAGTCTGTTGATACCAAGGGTCTACTTTAACCTCCTTTGTGATGAACAAGGTGGATTGTGTATGTTTCCTATTGAATTATTACCCCTTATATTCTTGAGAGAAAGTCTTTGTTGATAGCTGACTTTTAGACTCAAGCATATGTTTAGTTATAGTTCCCTCAGGTGCCAACAATAGGTAGAATAAACTTTAAAGATGTTTCAGGTGAATAGCATTTCACCCTGTTCCCTGGTACAAATTGTGAGTCAATTATTTATGAGGAGAGCTCAATTTGTTTAAACCTCATTGACCTTTACTATAGTTATGACATGTGTCTTGACTCGATTCTTCCCTCTATTGATTTGGTCTGGAAAAGTAAAACAAGAGGTGAAATGGCCCCTCAGGGTAAGTTAAAATTGTAGGTTACGGCCATGTTAAATTGCTTTAGTATACTTTGTGTCCTTTAGAGTCAGAAAATGAAGCAATAAAGTAAGTTGATGTAAGTAATTCTTGTTTTTAAAAGGACCTTGAAGTGCTCTTAACAATATCAAGGATTTGATAAGATCTGCTTCAGACTTCTTAATTTAAAATGAACATAAAGATGGTAAAGCCGAAGGAATGTTGAAATACTAGTGTTGTGCTAACAGCTTTGAAACTGAATTCATGGGAGAGGACCCATAGGAATTCTTCACTATTGTCTGCCATACAGGGGGAAAATTAAAGCAGCAGTCACTGCTAGGAATTTCCTGGGGGGCATATCCAGGTGTACAAAATATTTAGGAGGCTTTCAAATGTTTTTTGCTCATTACTTTTATGTTATCAAGTTCAGACAGTGTTTAATATTCAGGCAGTTTTCAAGTTTTAAATGTTAATTTTGGTGACAGGCAAACCTATTAAATCTGAGCATTCACAACTTTTTCCTCTCCCAACTCCGTCCCCTAGTTGTCTGTGGTTATTGTGGAATTGACGGGATAAGTAGAAAACTGGAGAGGGCTGAAAGCAAACTTTAATTCACATAGTAAAGGAGAAAAGAATAGACTGATTGGAGAGAGAAAGTGGAGAAAAAGGACAAGAGCAAACTTGCAAACACGAGCTGGGTTTGGGACAGAATATTGAAATGTTTAGAGAGAGGGAGGAGAAAAACTTGAGGCATGGTTTATACAGACAAATAAAGAAAGCTGATTTCAAAATATGTTATTGGGTGTGATGAATAGTGTGCTTTGAGATAAGCAGATTTATTTAAATTGCTTGTGATTTACTTTTATGTGTGTGTCATATTTTTTTAAAATGGATCTGAGTTTAGTTTTAAGGTAGGAACAAGCTGTTTTGGTTTTATTTGTGTTCCTATTATTATTTCTGAAGTTGTCATCTCTTTTTAAAGTCTTTTCTTTTTGTTCATAAAAGGCATTTTTAAAAATTGAAGTAATGTTGCAGTATAACATTATATAAGTTTTGGGTGTGCATCATTGAAAGCCAACATGTGTATGTACTGCATGAAGTCCTCTACAAGAGCAATTCTATCCTTCACCATACAACTGTCTTCTTTGTGACAATTTACCCACCCTCTTTCCTTCTGGTGACCACAAAGTAGTCTGATCGTCCAAAAGTTTGTTTTTGTTTTGTTTACTTCATGTTTGTTTTCTCTATGGACCACAAGTGAGTGAAATCACATTTGTCTTTCTGTCTGACTTATTTCATGAAGCATAATTCCCTCTAGATCCAGTCATGTTGTTGCAAATGGCAGGATTTCATCTTTGTTATAGCTGAATAGGTTTCCACTGAATATGTGTACCGCATTTTCTTTCTTTTTTTTTAAAGATTTATTTAATTATACAAGAACCGGGGTACAGGCCAGATGTGTGGGAGGGTGAGAGGATTCCCCAGAGGCAGAGCAGGGAACAGAACAGGCAGACTGACGAAATACACTGTGGAGGGAGCAGCGGGCACAGCAGGAGAGGTCTGCTCACCATGTGGGACCCTCACCGGCCAGCAGGGATTGAACCGGTGCTGCAGAGGCTGTGGACAGCTTCACAGTGCGGTGCTCAACCACCTGCACCACGAGGGAGGCCCCCACATTTTCTTTATTAGCCAGCCGATGGGAACTTAGGCGGTTTCCATTTTTTGGCTATTTTAAATAATGTTGCAAGGAACATGGAAGGGGGTGCATAGACTTTGTCTAATTAGTGCTTTTGTATTCTTTGGGTAAATAGTTATAAGTGGGATAACTAGATCATATAGAATTTCTGTTTGTGGAGGCATTATGGAGAGCCCTTTCTTTCTTCCATGCCAGTGATAGGAGTTCTGTTGATTCATTACTTATGAAAGAACTTTACGGGAAAGAGAGATTCCAAGGTGAAGCTATATGAGATTGTTAGAAGTGAACCAAAAGATGTAAAGTAGTTTTAGAGCATACAAAAGCTGGACCAGAATTGGAAGCTTTTGAGATAAAGGGGGCAATTTGGGGAAGGAAATATCACTGCTAGGACCTCAGATACCACTTAAATGTTGCTTCTTTGATTTTAGCTTATACTTTTATATATTTGATTCTGAAGCTTCCTGTGTGTTGCTAATAACCAGGAGTCTAAGTGTAAGCCTGATACAGCTCTGGATAACATAATGTGCTTATTCAGAGATTTTGTGCTCTGAAGATTATGTCAGCATATTCCTGAAGAACTGCCCTATAAGTACTCTTCTGTTAAGCATTGTGAAACACCAGGCGTGAAGTGGTAACCAAGGACGAAGTGTTAGATTTGAACTAAGAAATCACCTAACTCCTTCGGTCAAGAATTTTGAAATCCATTGTTGTCAAAAATAGTGCAACACATGGGAAGGTGTCACCACTACTTTGTTACTCAATCTTTCCAGTTCCCTACTCCAAGGAATCATTTTATGGGGTTGATTTAGCCCTGTTTATCAGGATCTGTCCTCTTTCTATATCTTGCAGCCATCTCAGTTCATACATGTAGAAGAATGAGGGGTACCCTGAACCCCTTAAACTTGCATGCCTCAAATGGGTTCTGCCTTCCACTACATAAAGACAAAGCATATTCTTAGTGTATAAAAACTTTAATAGAAAAGAACTTTCATAGAATTAGTGTGCATAGAAAAGAAAGGATAATAGTGTGCCGATGTAACACCCTAAGTTACCCATTGTGGCGTGTTGCGCAGCCACAGGGTTTGTCCAAAGCTGGGTCACTAAGAACTGAAAACTTGGGCCTCCCTGGTGGCGCAGTGGGTTGAGTGCCACACTGTGAGGCTGTCTGCAGCCTCTGCAGCGTGGGTTCGATTCCTGGCCAGCCAGGGAGATACCCACATGGCACAGCAGACCTCTCCTGTCTCACCCGCTGCTCCCCTCAGAAGTGTATTTCAGTCAGTCTGCCTGTTCTGTTCCCCACTCTCTCTCGTGAATCCTGTCACCCTCCCGAGACTCTGGCCTATACCCCAGCTCTTGTATAAATAAATCTTAAAAAAAAAAAAGAAACCAAAGCTGTTTAGCAAAAGTTTATGACCTA